TGCAATCACCTTTCTTAAGAGTAAAGTTGACATTGTGGGGTCCATGTACAAATCCCAAGCTTTTTGGTCTAGACCCAAACTCTCCACATCTTGGCTCCAGTCTCAGTTCCCAAGGCTTGTGTCATCCACTCTATATGCCAACTGCCATAGAGCTGGTGTGAGCAGCTTGTGAAATCTGCATGCCTGTGCGCACACTGCTCCCCCTCTGGCACATGCAGTCCCTTCCCACGCCACTCTCACCTCCTCATAGACAAGATCACAGGCTCTTGGAGTGAGGTTGGGAGCCATTCCCTCAGCCTTTCCCCTCTCTCCTGGTTTCAGCATCGACTTTGTATACTAATGGGATCTTCTGTGACTATCTCATTGAGACATATTTTTATACTGGGGCAGCTAACTTCCTGTTAATTTCATACTAGACAGAAAGTCCTGGGGGACAGGGTCCAGGTTTTTTTTTTTTTCAGCACTGTACCTTTGTATTCAACATAATACCTGCCTTTTCACTGTGGGTGTGCTCAATAGGCTCAGCAAATAAACACTTCTAGGTTTTGAATTTTGTCTTGTTTTGAAGTGAACTGTGGCAAGTGAGTGTTAATTTCTGTGTACATGTTCTCCCTGAGCTAACATAGTTCAACTTGTGACTTTTCCGCTTTGTGATGGTACAAAAGGGATGGGCGTTCTGTAGAACTTTGACTTTGGATTTTGAATTTTGACTTTCTCCCAGGCTATTGATCTACTGTATCATAGTCTCTGTCAGTGTCCTGTCAAGGAGCTAGAGCTCCCAGTCAGCCACTTCATCCTGAGGGAAAACGATCGACCCTCTCTAGTGCACTGTGTTACTGAGCCAGGATGTTTTGGGGGCTGAGTGTTTGAAGTGTATTTTTAACTTATAATATTCTCAACTTACAGTGGGTCGATTAGACATCACTCCCATTGGAAGTCAAGGACCATTTCTACAAGATACTCTGAGTTTTGTGACTTCTAGTTTGGCTCCTTTGGCTTCCAAACACCATTTTTCCTGCCTTGAATGGCAGCAGCATCAACCTGTGTCAACAGCTCCCTTTTTCAGAGACTCTGTGGCTTTCTTTGTGCCGTGATCTCAGGCAGAAGTAAGAAAGAACTGCCAGCAGATTGCATAATATTTCCCCGTCCTCACCCTTGTCCACACGGTACCTTCACAGTGAGCCCAGGGTATCTCAGCAACAAGGGACTCC